AGCAGTACCAAGTTAAGGCCTGGAAACAGCATGTCAGATATGAAGAAATTCCACAAAAATTATTAGTAATACTTTATTAATTTCAATTTTTATGTTTATAAGCCTCTTTCTGGCATTTAAATTTTACTATTCTTTACCTATTTTCTTGAGGTAATGTTTTCTTTACCTAATGTTTAGTTACTTCATTTCTGCATCCTTTACTTGAAGTCTTTAAAGTTACAAAAACTCTATGGACCCATACTTTAGTCTTTGATTGAGAGGAAACAATTTTTTTCTTGTTCTAGTCTACTCAATTTCATCTTTTACTGGATTAAGTCTTAAAATCTGAAGCCATTAGATTGTTTTTCCCCATTCTTAATTTTTTCCTGTTTATAGAGGTTGAACAGTCCTAATATGAAAACCAAAATGTGGAATGTTCTAAATTCTGAACTCATATGACAAGTGATGGTCAAAATGTTAGAAAAACTAAAAAATGTTTTGCATGAAATTATATCCAGGCTATATATCTAACAGGTGTATGATGCATAAATGAATTTGTGGTCATACTTGACTTCTTTTCCCAGGATATCTCATTAGCCATATGCAAATATTCCCATATCTAAAACAATTCCTAACCCAGAACACTCTGTGTGCTGTCATTCAGTACAAGGGATGTCCTGTCTATGTGCATTCTGTCCCATTCCAAGAATGGAGCTTAATGATCTAAACAGGGAAGCATGTTAATGTAAACAGGAAGCATGTTTAGATCTTCCTGGTCTAGTGCATGACAAATTTTACATGTAAGTTATCATGATTCTACACAGTCTTTTTCAACAGTACATGTACAAAGATGCACAACAATAATTCAGATCTGTTAACTGAAGACTATATTTCATAAAATATTTATGTATTATTTTGATTTTTATAGATATGTAAAATTACACACAGCTGTAATTTGGCTGAACTGTAATTATGAATTTCCATCGCTTTTTGCTTTATACATTCTGACACTGTTTTCTCAGAAGGAACTACAAACCTCTCAGTGACTGCACTCTTCTCCTAATTCTCATGTTGCCTTCTGTCTTGTTTTGCATATTGTTAATTCTGCAGCTATTGCACTCTCACACTTGGTCTTCTTCATATTGTTTTGAGACAGTCTTACTTTGTAAGCCAAAATGGCCCCAAGCTTGTGGCACCACTCCAGGCTGAGCCTCCTGAGGGATGGGAGGACAGGTGCACGCTACCACTTCCGGCTATTATTCTTTGTACAACTTTCCAACCTTAATAGTCAATGTTACATATTTGAAAACCGCCATTTTAATTTTGTATGTAGCTTACAATAAATGTTTAGTTTGATTTAAATAATGGATCTGAACTGCATGTGGTGGCACACACTGTAGACCCAGCACTGGGGAGGCAGAGGCAGGGGTGGGGGCGGTTTTCTGTGAGTTTGAGACCAGCTTGGTTTATTTACATAGTGAGTTCCAGGACAGCATCAGAGCTACATAGTGAGACTCCCACTTAAATGCATGCCCCCTCTTCAAATAAAAATAAATGCATCTGAGAATTTCTATCTTAAACAGGGAAATATAAACCACTGACAAAATTTATTATTATGACTGACCTGACTATGACACAAAAAGATGCTGCCCATGTCCTATGCTACCCTATACTGGTGCTCATTTTACCCACAATGAAAGTCAAAGCCTTAGCTTATACAGCGCTACATGGCTTATTCACCACAACAAAGCAGAAACTTTTGCTTAGTAACGCATCTTCAAAATAGTTAGAATTGTAGCTGGAACTTGGGCTTTCATGCTTGTCCAGCAAGCATTTTACCAAACAGAGCTATTTTTAGAAAAACAAATCATTTCTGTTTTCTGGGCTGATTAACTGACATAGAAAATTCGGAACAGATTTGTACTGCAGAATAATGACAGCTTTATTCTAACCAGAGTTATCGCAAACATTTACTACTAAAGGAATAAGCACACGCGCTATGGGCAGTCAAGAGTGGATACTTGGCATCCTAAAAATCAGCTGAAGTAGCATTTATCAATGTGATTGGAATATTTAAGACTGTCACAGCCTGGCTGGCTATGAGGGCTGGGGAGGGAGTACCACACAGGATTAATTGTAGTAAAAGCCCCAAGGGGGAGGAACCTGTTTGTTGAGCTGCTATAGGTGAAAATCTACTTTTATTTCTCCTGGTGTCTCTGGGAACTGTCCTGTAGGTCAAGGCAGAGGGAAGCAGCTACCACAAGGAGAAACTTCTCTAAGCCAGGTCATTAAGATGGTGGACTATTTGGCAAATTTCCTCTCAGTCAATGACTGGCCCCATCAGACAAAACTTGTGAGGCAATGTGAACTCTGCAACACATGGATGTACATGGATGATGCCTACAACCGACCAGGAGACACACAAGTCACCAATACCCCACATTCCTTGACCAGAGACCTAGTATAACTTTCCTTTTAAATGTCATCACTGTGTACCACTTCAAGTTCTAACTCTAATTACCACTATTTATTAGGACTGTATGTAGATTTCCTCATTATAAAAATCAAAGTGAAGCCAAACCAATCCAAACCAAAATATCTGGGAAATTTCTTACTCATTATCTTAAAAGAAAACCGAACTATCTAATTTACATGTTGTATGTAATTCATCTTATTTTTGATCAATACTGTTTGACAGACTATAAATGGGACTAGATTAGGGGTAGACTAAAAGCAGGTGAAGAGTGACTGAAACTAGGGAATGAAAAATAAGATTTATTCTGAAGTAAAGTAAAAAAAAAAAAAAGATGAGTCAACAGAAGAAAATGAGGTTAGGTAGATTAAAAATAGAAATTAGATAGGTTAAAATTAATTTTGATAGGTTTATGAATAATTCAGCTTTAGGCATAGTAAGAATGAAATGCTGGTGAGAAAATACAACTGGAATTTGATGGAGCACAGACCCAACAACATATTTTGAAGCCCCTCATATCCAGGTAATATACAAACACAGAAAGGACCTCTAGAGAAGAACATCATAATACCATGGATGAGAACAGTTGTATTTATGTAAAAAAGGCACAATATAAGAAAACTTCTGCCTAACCCAAACTAAAGGATAGTGTACAAAACAACTAGCCAGCATTTTTCAGGAGGCAGCATTTTCAGATACAGAAAGACATAAATGAGACAGGGTAGACAAGTCAGCCAACTGTAATACAGAATACTAGGTTGGATTCTAATAGAATGGGAGATTAGCACTACAATAGGTGAAACTTGAGTAAAGGATGCATGTTAGCTAACAGTTTATATAAATGTCAATTTCTTGATTTTGGAAATTGTACAGTGGTTATATAAGATAGGAACGTGCGGAAGACAGGTTTGGATTAAATGACATCTTTTCATACTGTTTTTGAAAGACTTTCTTAAATTCTTTCTAAATTGAAACCTTAGAGCTTTTCTTTTTCGTTTTTAGAACACATATAAAGGGAAACAATCTGCAACCTACTACTGAACTTGCTTGTCCCAAATGCGTTAACAGTTAAGGGACTCTAAGCAAAGACACAGTAATTTAAAACTGCTATCTATGTAAGGAGAAATGTTGGCTGAAATTTCTTTAGATATGAACAGTAAGATTTTGTGATGACATTTTTTACCATGATTCCTCTGTTAAAGACCTCTTAATGGCTTATAATTTCAACAGGAATATCTCAGATTTGACTCTTGCTCCATTTCCTCTGTATCTATTATAGCCTTCAGCAGTAAACATCTTCCTTCCTTCCTTCCTTCCTTCCTTCCTTCCTTCCTTCCTTCCTTCCTTCCTTCCTTTCCTTCCTTCCTTCCTTCCTTCCTTCTTTCTTTCTTTCGTTCTTTTTTTTTTTTTCAAGGCAAGGTTTCTATGTGTAACTCTGGCTTGTCCTAGAACTCACTCTGTAGACTAAGCTGGCCTCAAACTCAGAGATCTGCCTGCCTCTGCCTCTGAGTACTGGGATTAAAGGTGTGTGCCACCACTGCCTGGCAGTAAACACCTTTGTAACTGGTCTTTCTGCTGTAACTGTCTTCTACTAAAGTGCTTAGGAACTGAAACACAGCAAAACCTGTTCTGATGATGTTAATCCATGAATAAGCACTCACACTGCCTCATTCCCTTACCCTCAGACAGCATCAGAGGTGAACTACTCAGCACAGAGTGTAGGACACAGACCCTGTTCCCTCCAATGCTTTCATCTATTTTCTGTTGTGGACAAGCTTCACCCCCATACTTTAATCTCTGACCACAGCAAGCTTTCATATGCCCTAAACACTAATGACTCTGCCAAGCCCCAGGACCCTTTGCTTTTATTTTTCTGCCTGAATGTTTTACACATTTTCTAGTTTTGCAGATCTGAAGTGTCACATTGTCTGGCAAGCTCTCATCTTCACAAGTTTAAATACAGTTCTCTTAGAGTACTTAGCATCAAATTCTAGTGCTTACTCATGACTTTCCTACATGAAACAAGAGTCATTGGAGACAAGAAATGGTATACTTATATGTGTATTTCAGAATTTGACATAACATCTGATAAGGGTCTGCTATATCAAGATCTAATAAACTAGCAAGAGAAAAATAGAATCAAATACACTGCAATCTTATCTTCTCCTGCAAGGTCTTTGTTAACCCTAAGAAATGCCTCATAATTTCCTCCATCCAACTTAACCACTCTTAACCTTTCTCTGAACTCCAACTGTACCTAAGTCAGTGACTACCACAGTTTAGAAGATTCCTTAATGACTTCCAGTGTTTTGTCTTCAAACTGCACAGGAAAACTGTCCTATAGCAATTCAAATAATAACAAATATATACAATTAAGCATCCTCTTATGTACTATGACCACATGAGACATATCTGATCTTTTTGAAAACTTGAATCTATAAATGTGCTAAGAGCTGACAAATATTCACAGACATGGAGTTTCTTTTAAGTACCTGTGCTTTTTGTGCATACAATGTGCAATTACCCTTTCACAGAGCCCCACACTTACCTTGGGTTCATGATGAGACGTCGGAAAAAGTAAGTCCATGTGATATAATCCATTGCATCTTGCTTAGATGTTATTGTACCTCCAGCAATCTCTGCATTTAAGTGGTCAGAAAGCACTCCTAATAAGCTACATATTGAATAAAAGACAAGAAATACAATGAACAATAAACACTTATCTCAGTAAAGATTCATATTTTTATGTTATAAGCTACCAAAAGTGGCTTTATTTATGTATAACAACTGTGTATAATTTACAAATAATCTATTTCATTATTTGGTGATAACTGTTAAAAGTTGTTACAAATTCTAAAATTCATCACAGCACCATGAGCTTAAGGACACATTATTAACTAACACATATATACTTATGCTCTTTCTGTTAAAAAGTATGTTACATTTTTTTACATGAATATGAACAGAGTCCAAAGAGTACTATAGTAGTACAGAATTTCCCCAGAATACCTTAAGTAGTAACAACCTGCTGAAAGCAAATTACTACTACCGGTCATCTGGTAAATACTCAACAAATGGTTATCCTTGCTATCAAGAAAAGAATGGTTATATGGAAAAATAAAACACAGGCTGGCAGGAAGAGAGCTAGAAACTCACAGAGAAAGAAAATGCAAATCAAGAGAGGAGGCTTGTTGAGTGAAATGCAGAACATATGAAGTGCTGGAGTAAGCATGGAATAAATAACGAGGAAGATTAAAAAGGAACTTGCGAGGCAGGGATGATAGCAAAAAGCAAAGATATTTCCTCTATTCACCCAGCGAATATTAAGTGCTTGGAAAAATAGGGCAGTATCATGATACAAAGGTAATAAGATGTGTTGAAAGCCTGGGAAAATACATATTTTTAGTTTCATATGTAAAATACAAAAAGCAAGGAATGTCTAACAAAAAGGGCTAAATAATTACAAATAGAAACATATGCAAGTATTCAAATTAGCTTTTGTAAAGCACATGAATAGATTAAAAAAAACTGAATGTAAAAAATGTTCTCTATGTCAATCTCAATTTATTGTGACAGAGTGAAAATGGATACAGTCTGCATAAAGAGTACTGGCAATATTCATTTGAGGGCTGACTATAATCTAGCAATTTCCTTTTTTCATCACAATCTGATAGAGAAACATTTGTATGCAACATCAGAAAGGTAAAATGCTTCACTGTTACATTACACACAAGAGGAGGAAACTGTGGGGCTAGAGAAATAGGTGCCTCAGCAAGAGTACTTGCAGAGGACCTGAGCTCAATTGCTGGTACCCATACTGCAACTCAGCAGTCTATAACTCCAGTTCTAGGGGAATCTGATGCCCTCTTCTGGACTCCTTCAGCATGGCAGGCATGTGGTGCCCTGACAAACATACAGGCAAAACACTCACACATAGGAAAAAAAAAACTCTGAAGAGGAGAAATCTGGATTGCTAAATGTACACTAATAGAGAACTGAATTAACTATAGAATATTCTATGACATATAAGATATTAGCAATGGTCATAGCACAAGAAAAAGTAAATTAGCTTTTTATTATACAATGTCCAGAATAAATTAGTTTTGTTATAAATGGGTGTGTTATGTCAAAATTCTTTAAAAATACATATGAGATGGTCATATGTTATTTCTCACTTGTTTTTGTGGCGAATTAGATCCACTTGTTTTCAGAAACAGTTTTTGCATTTACAGGGTAAAATGTACTTTTAACTATTTGTATATATTGCCGAGTTTAATTTAGTGATGTTTTGTTTTAGATTTCTGTATTCATTCAAGATTCACACGTCTGTTAAGTTCTTAAAAAGATTTCTTACTGAATTTTAATATCTAAGTTATTCTGACTCCATAGAACAAACTATAAACTTATTCCTAATGAACAACTTTATACAAATGATTTTTACACTTTAGCTCAAAGGATAAAATTTATCTTTTTTATATTTCTTTTCATCTCTCTTCTGTCTCTTTCTAGATAGGCTCTCACTATGCAGTCTAGTCATGGCTGGCCTGGAATATGATATGTAGACCAGGATAGCCTCAAATTTACATAGATTTTCTTGAATCTGCCTCCTGAGTGCTGGGATTAAAAGTGTGCACCACTATACTTTGCAAATCCTACCTTTTCTATTACTAGGAGAATGCTCATTTATGACTGATATTATTCTTTCTATACTACAAAGAGTTCAACAGTGAAGCATCTGGGATATAAGATTTTATTATGAAAGAATCCTACATTTCAAATTCAATTGCTTTGACAGATCTGATACTGATGACTTATATTTTCTTTTTTACTGTGCCAGTTTTGGTAGTTTTTAAAATACATTTTATCCTTTGAGCTAAAGTGTAAAAATCATTTGTATAAACTTGTTCATAATGTCTTATTATCTTTTTTAATATATATGATGTTTCTCGAATCCTGATATTTAGACATAAACATATAAATTTTCTTCATCTTTGGAAAACACAATCAAACAAACAGTAGAGACTAGTGGTATAATTCAGTGATTGAAGCTTCTAAGGGGAGGGGCATGGAAGCTGCAAGTTCAAGGCCTACCTTTGCTACTGAGGGAGTCCAAGGTCAATCTGGGTAACTTAGTAAAACCCTGTCTCAAAATAAAAAGAAGGGTGGAAGTGATATATGTAGTGGTAGGGCCTAGCATGTCTCGGGCCCTAGGTTCAATCCCCAAGACCTCACACATATAAAAGCCAAAGCAAGCCAACAAAAGGCAACCACCAATCTTTGGGACAGTTGAAGTCTTTAATAAATGTTTATTCTTATTTTAAGATTGATTCTTATTTTCAAGTGTGTGTGTGTGTGTGTGTGTGTGTGTGTGTGTGTGTGTCTGTCTGTCTAGGAGGGGTTGGTGCACATGAATGTAGTGTACTCGGAGGCCAGAAGAGAGTATGGGACTCTAGCAGAACTGGAGTTACAGGTAGTGGGGAATAGAAATCTTGTATTACATGATATAAACTATTAATTACATGCCTCCTTATTGTGGACCATTTATTGCAAAAAGAAAAGTACCTAAAAGAAATACCAAGGAAAATACAAATTCCTCAGTAAAGTAATACTGTACTGAATGCTTTCCTCACAACAGATATTGATTCCAAGCATTATTCATCTGATCCCTACAAACACAAATGAGCAAGCTAGGATTGTTATCACGCCCATTTTACACACAGTGAAACATGAAGTGAACTGCTCAATACCAAGCAATTAAGTGGCAAAGCTCAGAGTTCAACCTCTGTCATCTGGTGCCAGGGCAATAGTTCAGTGTGCACAGTAGCCATAAGAGCATACAACAAATTTTCCCTTAAAATAATAGTAACAGCTGCATGTTGTCTCATAGTAACAACTACATTGTTAAGTTCTGCTGTAAGTTTTACTAATTGTTGCTGTGCGATGGTCTGTATGTCAAATGTGTTGCTGATTGGTCAATGAATAAATCACTGATTGGTCAGTGGCCAGGCAGGAAGTATAGGCGGGACTAAGAGAGAAGAGAATTGAGAGAACAGGAAGCTGGGGGAGGGAGACACTGCCAGCTGCCATCAGGACAAGGAAGATGTAAAGTACCGGTAAGCCACAAGCCACGTGGCAAGGTACAGATTAATAGAAATGGATTAATTTAAGCTGTAAGAACAGTTAGCAAGAAGCCTGCCACGGCCATACAGTTTGAAACCAATGTAAGTCTCTGTGTTTACTTGGTCGGGTCTGAGTGGTTGTGGGACTGGCGGGTGGCAGAGATTTATCCTGACTGTGGGCCAGGCAGGAAAACTCTAGCTACAAATTGTGTTTTAGTAAAACATTACCAGGACAAAAAATACCTAAATAAAATAAAATTAAAAAAAAAAAAAAGCAACCATGAAGTCTGTTTTATGTTGGCCAATTACTCCAAGGCACAGGGCCTGTCCAGAGTGCAGATGATACACAGTGTCACTCCATTGGTGAAAACTGATTTTCCTTTTCCCAGGAGATCAATTGCAAATAGCTTCTTTGTTAGGGCTTTGTACTTTGTTTTGATATTTTTTGTTTTACTGGATTTTTGTTTTGTGTTCTTTTTCATTTCTTTTGAGACAGAAAAGAGGGGAGAGAAAGAGAAAGGTTGCATGAACATGAAGTTGGGTGGGTAGGGAGGTGGGGATAATATGAGAAGAGTTGGAGAATCAGAAAGAAAAGGATCAAAGTACATTGTATGACAAATTTATTTATAATTGAAAAGAAACATAACCAGGAAAATATAAACACACTACGAAATGAAACCTGTTAGTTTAAAACCAAACTCACCTTGATTCTACTGGGAAAGGTTCATAAAGAAATTTTTTATAAAAATCTTTTTTTATATCATGAACAAGAATTACAGCTTTGCCCTGGTCATCGAACTGAGGTCTCCCAGCTCGCCCCATCATCTGCAGCACATCTATGGAAGAGAGAATAAGAGGCCTCCTGCAGTGACACTGAGCATGAGGTAAAGCTAATGGTCAGGGCATGCTTCTAGCATCAAGAACTAACAGAAAATAGAATACTTTAAGAACATGTGCTTCTTTGATCATCACTACTACAATCTTTAACATATATAACAGCTATGTATATATATATTTATATACATGATATAAACACACATACAGTATAATCTATACTCAAAAATTTATATTAAATAAGCAACTGTGATTAAGACTGAACTTTTAGAATGGTAGCTTACACTATCTGTGAAATAAAGTTCTCTAGAGTTACATGACTGAAGATGCTATTTAAGAACATTGATACTGTAGGGCCTGTGGAGGTGGCTCAGTGGATAAAGCACTTGCACAAGTGTGAGGACAGGAGTTGGAGACCTAGCACTAAGAGAAAAGCCAGAAGGGCATGGCGGCATCTCTGTATCCTAGCACTTGGGAGGCAGACATGAGTTCCCAAGACAAGCTGGCTAACTAGACTAGATGAACTCCAGCTTTAGCAAGAGCCTTTGGTTTAGTAAATAACAGTAGAAAGTGACTGAGAAAGATAACTGGTATCAACCTCTGACCTCCACCTGCATGCACACACACTGCTGGTGTGGCCCCACATATGTGCCTCCACACACAATGTGAGCATGCATACATACATGCACCCACACAAAATAAATAATAATTCTATTTTAAATAAACAAGGAAAAGTAAAGCCCATACAGGATAATGTTTCCCCTGGATAAGAAGTTTATTTAGTTCTTATCTTTCATCCTCCCAGAGAATAATTTTTTTCCCTTTATAATCTGTAGGAACCTTTGCAATAATTTATATTTTAAAAACCATATATCTTTTGAAATCTATTAATTATAGTTCTTAAGCAAAATTCATTGCACCTAATAGTTATTAACCAGTACTTTTATTTATGAATTTGAAATCACTAACTACGGTTTTGATTATTAATGAATTGGGCAAGTTACTAGACAGGCGCTTTAACCAGCTAAGCCTCGGAGCCTGCACGAATTGGGAAAGTTAAATGGAATAAAAAAGTTTAATATTTTCTGAAGCATTTGCACTGAAAATAAAGACTTCTTAACTTGATTATTATATCCTGATTATTATATATTTAAATGAGATAATTCTCCAAATTTAACTTATATAAACATAAACTGCTAAGGATGAAATATAAGCTTAAGAAAAAATTACCTGTGATGGGAAAATCCACATAACGTCTTGTTTTTCCATCATAATATTCAGTTCCTTTAATAATTACTAAGTGAGCTGGAAAGTTTACACCCCATGCTAATGTGCTTGTAGCAATGAGAACCTAAAAGATAAAAGAGAAAGCAAATGTCTTATAGCTAAGTAAAATAAAACTTCTATGTTACTTTTAAATATGTGTTCATGGAGGAGGGGAAAGAGTACCTGAACTTTACAGTTCACAAACAGCTCTTCTACAGTTTTTCGGTCTCTTTCATGCAGTCCAGCATGATGCATTCCTATCCCAAAAGCTAGAGTCAGCTTCAGGTTGGAATCTCGTATTGTCCCAATGATGTTCTCCATCTGCCAATAAATGCAAGCACAAGTCCAAGAAGCAGGTGCATCAGCTCCAAAATAATCATGTATTCCAATTACGTTTGATTGACATGGCTTTTTTTTGCTTTTAATACCATTATATGGAAACAAATATATAGCCTCCCTGTTTTCATTAAAGATGGGTAAACTGAAAAGAATTCCTACTTGGTAAAAACATATTCTCCAAACTACCCATTTTAATATTATATAACAAGAGAAAAATATATGGTGATAAACATAAACTCCCCTTAATGATTAAAGACTATTTGAAATGATTTAATATTGTCTAAGAAGGTTCAGTATCATTGCTATATTAAAAAGATACTTATCTTTTTGGATTTGTGTCTAAACTTGAGAAAATGCAAACAACAAAAAGAATCTGATACAATCCTACCAGACAGAATAATTATCCCAACAAAGTTTTCATACTAAACTTAGTGCTCATTAAGTCAGATGACTGCCTCAGTTTCGTTATCTGTAAGTTAGAAATAATAACAATAATCTTATACAGGCATGTAAATTCCTCCATTAAAGTCATGTAATAATAGCTACTACTAGCCTATATGTAAATTTGCCAATGGGTAAAAACAGTCTGAAGATACTTGAAGGATGTCTACTCCAAACCTTCCTGACAGAAAAGCTCATAACTATAAACATATCTGAGTCTGAAAAATTTTGATCATTAAAAAAACCAGACTGACTATTTTTGCTTATTTGTTATTGCTTTGATCAGCAGCTAAAAGCCTTTCATATTCCCTTGTTGTTTTTTCAGTGAAGTACCATTTCACTTCAGTAGATGTGACAGCTCTATTTTTCTTATTGGTGTAATACAGCCCTTTGTGCTTACGGGTATCAACCCTTTGTCCATATGCATTCTTATCCAGTTTTTCAAACCTCATTTTACTTATTATTTATAATAACTTGACAGTCCCAAGGTTTCAAAGTATTCACTTGCTGTGGGATTTTGTTCTGTATGCTGTGAATGTGTTGCTCTGATTGGTTGATAAATAAAAAGCTGATTGACCAGTAGCCAAGCAGGAAGTACAGGCGGGGTGAAGAGAAGAGGAGAATTCTGGGAAGAGGAAGGGCTGAGTCAGAAGTGGCCAGCCAGACACAGAGGAAGCAAGATGACAAGGCAGAACTGAGAAAAGGTACCAAGCCACATGGCTAAACATAAATAAGAATTATGGGTTAATTTAAGTGTAAGAGCTAGTCAGTAATGAGCCTGAGCTAATGGCTGAGCAGTGATAATTAATAAAAGCTTCTGAATGATTATTTTATAAGTGGCCCATGGAACTGTGGGGGCCTGGCCAGACCCGAGAAACTTTCATCTATATTTAGTGTCCAATGTGAATTTTTATCAAACATCTATAAAATATACATTTGCCTACTATATAACTTCTGTTGTGGTTTTAATTTGTATCTGAACAATTATATATACTTTATTTTTGCACTGAAATTATGGTGAAAATCCAAAGTGTATCTTCTATCAATTAAACTGGAAACAGTGGCTATATAATTCCTTATTTTAAAGTTAAACTATATTATTTCTTATTTAAAAGTTTTTAATATATTCAAAATGTTCATCTATTCTAACTATTTTAGTTACTTCTATAGCCTTATCAACACATGCCACTAGTCCTCAATACTGGAGTGAGAGCTTGAAAAAGGTAACATGTACAATTTTATATGCTTGAAACAGAACTATAAATAACTATTATTGTCTTTAGAGCTCATTTCATTTTGTTTTTCTACTGACAACTTCTATCAGGCACAGCCGAACCTGCATATATTTCCTCTTCTGGGTGTACATAAACTAAATATCTCAAAATCTCCAATTAAGGGATCTTTATCTGGCTGTTGCAGTTTAGAAAAAATACACAAGTCCATATTATCCATGCAAGGAATCATTGCTTCCATTCCTATTCATTTTGTTTTCACAATAAAAAACTTGTAAGATTTTAGAATGTGGGAATAAGTTGTCTTATACTAGTAATACATAAAAGAATGGTAAAGTTTAATAGTAATGTTTATAGAAAGCAATGCAGCCGGGCGTGGTGGCACACGCCTTTAATCTCAGCACTCGGGAGGCAGAGCCAGTCGGATCTCTGTGAGTTCGAGGCCAGCCTGGGCTACCAAGTGAGTTCCAGGAGAGGCGCAAAGCTACACAGAGAAACCCTGTCTCGAAAAACCAAAAAAAAAAAGCAATGCATTGAGTAGGCAATACTTTGAATAACACACACATTAGAAATGTTATTTAACTTTCATTGTGATAGTTATAGTGTATTAGCAGTGTATTCTATCTCATAATACATAACTAACAGCATTTTTGCATGTATCTGTGAACATAAGAAATAAACTTCTCTGAATTTACCATAAGATATGTACACTGTCTACAATGAAGATGGCATAGGGACGGATGTTCTTAAATTGTCTCATAAACTACTTGTGTCATTTTCACCGTATAAGGTATTTTCAACTTATATTGATTCACGGATACTTTTAAACTTAAAACTACTTTTAGATTTTTCAGCTTTATTAATGAAATAAGTACATATGAATTGTGTAATTCACAGTGTCCCATGACAATCATACCTCAAAAGTAATGTGCCATCTGCCATTCAAAAACCAAAACACCTTGTGACAGGAGGTTTGGGGGAAGAGGAGCTGTTTCTCACTCTCCCCACCTCACACTCACATAAATCAGTGCACTAAAAAGAAAGCTTTGCCTGTCTGAACTGGCAATCCCTGAAATCCTCAAGAGGACAATTAAAAAAAAAAACTTCATTTATTATAAATCTGAATTCTCTGAGTAACAAAAGGGAAAATTTATAGATGCTAATCATTAAACATAAAATACTACTAAAGTAACCTAAAGGAATTAAAAAATATATTTTATTGAATCATAAGTATTTGTTTTTATATTTTAAAATGAGTTTCACCTTTATCAAATTATTTTAAGTCAAGCAAAAAAATTGGGAAATTTTCAGGTACTGAAAGCTGAACATTTTAACAGATATTTCTTTAGCACTTTCTATTTGCTTGCCATTGTGCTATCAATTTACAAAGCTTATCACAGATTATGTTTTATACAATGAGTAGTGTTAACATCACACTTAGTTTGTTTCTACAACTCAGTATGTTTAAATGTAAAAGTTTCATTGATTTTGAAATCAATATAGTAAACTTTCTCAACTTTGAATCAATAAAATAAGATTCTCAAAAAGTATTTGGGTTATCATCTCAATTTCTCCAAGGATATGTAGTACAACTCCATATAGATATAAGACACATTATTTATTACATAAGAATGGATACTATAGGACTTGAAAGGGTTAATTTTTGATAAGATGGGATGTTACAGAATTATGACTGACTACAATAATGAAAACAACAGGAAGTTTCAATTCCAATGTTCATTTCTGTTTAACAAATATTTGTTGTAATGCATTGGTATTTTTCCAATAAACAGCTTTTGAAATATGTCAGACCACCTAATAGTTAAACAAAAAATACTCAATATTGTACATAAAAGAGAAACAGATCTATATTCTTTGGAGTGATCTGTTTAGGGGGTAGGAGAAGAGGCACATATGTAAGCTGTTGAACCATTTACTTTAACTTAATAAAATTTTTTTATATTTTAAATTTATTATACTCAAAAAGCTTTTGTAGAGAGATAGGATTCCATTTAAGTAGATACATTACTCTGGGCCTAACGCACATTCCAGTCAGAATATAATTCAGCAAGCTGATGACAATGCTGGCTCCACAAGAAAGAGACCAGATTGGACAAGAATGAGCTAACAGACTGTGCAGCCCAGCTCTGTCCCTCTGAGTGTGATATATTGTTTCAAGATGCTAAAATCCCATAGCTTCTCAAAGCATATCTGCTGTGCTGGTTTTCCCATTTTCACAGAATCCTCATTATCAGAACTCTGTACTCTTTTTCAAAGCATGTCAGACTCAGACCATATGCCACTGAATAATGCTTATCAACGGTCTACACTGCTGAACAGAAGATACACTAAGCAGAAGAATCATGAAAGTTACAAAGACTTCTAAAAACAGAAATAAACCAACCACATTGATACAGATGTTAAATGAAATTTAAGTATTTTCTTGTAATTGCAAAGTATTAATTTCTGAACTGTTTATGATGAACCACACAGAAGTAAGAGGGGAAATTACCAATGAAAGAAACAACATAGAACATTTTACTGATATGATAACAGAAAAGAATTCAAGAAATAGTTTGAAATTTATTCAGAATAAAAGTTTCCAAAATTTCCCAATACTACAAAATTCATTTCTTTCCTGACCTGAATGGCAAATACAACCACACTGCAAAAGATTAACATATAGTGACGTATTAATTTTAAGCGTATACATATGTGATCAAGGAAATAAATCTGCCTGAGGGCAAAGCTTAGCAACACAGGCCCTGCTTTTCACACATAAAGCTATGAGTTCTACTTCTAGTAATGCTGATTAAAAAAAAATTACATGTGAAATAAATACAGAAATAAAGTGTGAATTACAAATATGTAAACACAAACCTAAACAATAAATAAATAAAATCTAAACAATAACAGTTTTGCCACATCTTCCAAACATATAGAACAGCATTTGAAATTTATTTTTTGATTGGCCTAATTCTTACTGGAATCACAAAGTAAGATATTAACATGTTTTCCTTACTCACATCTCTAAGTTAATTCCCTATATCACTAGCAGAAAATCCTTCTGTAAACACTTCATATTTACTTTTAAACATAACTTTGATACTTATTTCCATTTTTAGAGAGTTCTGATTCTAATACATGCTTGGAGAATATGTCCATATATCAGAGTGCTTTTCAAATGCAGAAGAGACTGAGTTGAAAAAGAATATTACAGAGTTAACTTTTTAAAGTCGCACAATTATATTTTATTAATATGAATTAAATCATGAAAGATGATAACCAGAAGAGCAAAAATATAATGTA